TTATTATTATTTTTTACACTGTAACTTTAGCTTTAACCCATTAAGTTAATAAGTATGCTTGTTATTCCTAATGGTACAAGTCCCTTGAAGAAAATGGGGGCAGGGCTAAAAAGAAAGTTAAAAGAACAGCTGAATAGATCTGAAAAATAAAATAAAGCATTAAATAAATATGCTACATAGAATCATAACAAGCATAACATAACAACAGAGGCAAACGGAGGCAAACGATAGGTAAGCAAGCACGAGCAACACACACAAACAGTTAACATGAAAAGCAATACAACATAGCAGCAATACAGGAAAGGCATGCAATAACAGACAGCACTGCACACTTCCTGTGTGTGTGATTACAGTGCAAACTCTTTCTCTGTGTGAGTGTGGACAGTTTTGGCTGCAGTGTTTTCAAGTGCGATCAGAGGAATAAAGGTGCAATAAAGGTGCAATGATGGGCTATGCCGCAAGCCAGACTGTGCCCTTAGCAGTTGGCCTGCATGTAACATTCCCATGCTCTGACCAGGGCAGGATAGTAATTTGAATGAAAACAAGTTGAGCAGAGCAGGTGAAGGTAGAACACATTCTGTACAAGAAATCATTTCAGTTTGGTGTCATCTAGTGGCATCATCAAGAATGAAACCAAACTGAAAAGAAGAAAAAGAAGGAAATGCACAACTAACGTATCTACATTTATAACAAATCATATCTGTTACTATATTTGCATGCATAATTTTTACATTCAATGAATGTGTAGGTTATATAAACTGCACATTTATTACATACACGTGCAGTAACATTGCAAAAATGTTTCTTTTCTTTGCATGCATAGAGCAAACTACATTGTTTACTTTCACACACCGGATAAAGAGATTTGCTAACATATAAAAGATGCTTTTGGCTTTTTCTTTCATTAGTTGTACTAATACAGTGAGCGCACAGTTACCCATGTTTTAGTCACTTTAATTTATAAATTTATATCACATGCGGACTTCCTGAATTGTTGTGTGTGGGTGTGTGTGTGTGTAGGTGGGTGTGTGTGGGTGTTTGTATGTGTGTGTAGTTGTGCAAGTTTATGGGTTTATTAAGAGTTCACCACCATTTCTGATAAAGGAAACTGAGGAAACCGAAGATCTAAAGAAGAAATCTAAAACACTTATCTTTCTGAGAAGCTGTGCGTCTTTCAGTCACCACTATGACTAAATTTTGCTGTTTTTTTTAAGCTTGCTGTCTTTTGCCCACACCACTTGACAAGCCTGTTTGAAGGTTTGAGGTAGAATTAAGGTAGATTGACTAATGGTCTGGCATGTCCTTGTGAAGCTAGCCAAACAAACATGTCTATATGTTAATGTGCCCCTCCCAAGCATGCTGTGCCAGAAATAGATGGGGAAAACCAATTGATGGAAAATGGCTTCTTCTTTTTTTTTTTAAACATACTTATATGAGAACCACTCATCTGATGAACATCAACTCAGTAACACATTAACTCGAGACCCAAGAAATTCAGCTGCAAAGTTTGAAGCAGTTCAGATAAATGTTTGTTG